GTGCCTGTGGCTCAAGTGGCTAAGGCGCCAGCCACATACACCTGAGCTGGTGGGTTTGAATCCAGCCCAGGCCCTCCAAACAACAATGACGGCTGCAACCAAAAAATGGCTGGGTGTTGCGGTGGGCACCTATGGTCCCAGGTACTTGGGAGGCTGAGGCAGGAGACTCGCTTGAGCCCAGGAGTTGGAGATTGCTGTGAGCTGTGATGCCATGGCACTCTACCCCGGGGGGACAGCTTGAGGCTCTGTCTCAAAAAAAAAAAAAGAGGATCGCTTGAGCCTAAGAACTTGAGGTTGCTGTGAGCTATAATGCCATAGCACTCTCTAATCAGGGTTCCTGAGTGAGACTCTGTCCCCCACCCCAAAACAAAAAAACAAGAAAGATTTAGAAAGGGAGGTGGCTCACATCTGTAATTCAGCACTTTGGGAGGGGAGGCTAAGGAGGGAGGATCACTTGAGATCAGGAGTTCTGAGGCTAGCCTAAGCAACACAGTGAGACTCTTTCTCTATTAAAAACAAAAATTAGCCAGGTGTGGTGGAATGTGCCTGTAGTCCTAGCTACTCCAGAGGCTGAGGCAAGAGGACTGCTTAAGCCCAGGAGTTTGAGGCTGCAGTGAGCTATGATTGTCTCACTCTATTCTAGCCTACCCAACAAAGCAAAACTCTATGGCGGGGGGAGATTTAGAACAATGTTCAGTATCTAATAAATACTGTCATAACTATTTGATATAATCATATATATTGTGAATTTTGTAGATTTCACTGTCATACTTTTAAAAATAGCTGCTTAATATTATACTCAATTACCTTAAAACATTAAACATGTTCAACTGTGCCTTTCCCCCACTGTTTCAAGTATAATGCTTCTAGCAAAACTTTTTACGTATTACTTCCATTTTTGGTTTCATTTCTTAGGAAAGAAAACGAAACAGTAAGCTATTTGGATCAAAGGAACATTAATATTACCAGACCAGAAGCAAGATTTTTGAGAATGGTTTTTGTCAATTCTTTAGCTACGGGCTCTTGCTGTCTTGGCTCTCCCAGTGACCAAGGTGCCAAATGCCAGGGCCTTGTGCCTGTCTCATCAAAGTTAAGCATCATCTGCTCATCTGTTTTCCTGTTTCTCTGCCATTCCTCCTTTTGTGACAATAAACACAGTCTCTTAGGTTTTAAATGGGGCAGCCTCCCATCCCCATGTTCTTTTCCTTGATTATCTCCTCTCTATTGGTTCAGTTCACCTATTTCTCTGAGCCTGAAATTATCCTTGACGTCCTACAGGTGCCTTTCATTATAACTGCACGCTGTTCTCCACTCCTTTATTCTCTGTATTAGCCAAACTTTCAAACTGAAAATCTGAGAGTTCATCCTTGATGTCTTTGTGCATCACCTTTAAATTCCAGATGTCCAAAACTGAATATCACATAATTCATATAAAGAAACTTTATCTTCTCTTCTCCACTGCTCTCCTTCAGGCCTTATTTCTTCCAGCAGCTGTTCCAAAGGCCTCTTCTGGTCTCTTTTGGGAGCGCTAACCTCCACCCAAGCCTCTACCCAGTTGCCTATTTAACTCAACACCTAAACTGTGTGCCTGCGCCAACATAAGATTTCAAAGAAATTAAAAAAAAAAGAATGGCAAATGAATCTTGGACACTGCATATGGATCAAGGGCAAGAGAAAAGGTCCCAGATTAACATGGAAAACGTTGGGATTTTAATAACATTTATATTGGTAAGCTTCCTTGAACAAGACGCTTCGCGCACCTTTATTACTTAAAACTCCCACATTACCTTCTACTGAAGAGGTTTTGGTCATTCTTTGAAAATAGTTGAATTCATTCCTATAATTTAGAGAAACGCAGCGTTACTCAGAGCTCTAATGCGCCTAACAAACGGTGCGCCCCAGGCAGGGCTGCCCCCTGGGGTGGGACTTTGCTCTGGGTAGAGGGCGCCGCGGGTCACAGGGCTCGCGGGTCAGCAGGATCCGAACCAAAATCAACAGCTTGGCCTCCCATGCTACAGACGCAGAAGCCAGCTCGCGACCGCCCTCTATTATAGGCTCTGCTGGCAGATGCGACCCCCATACCCCCGCAGCCAGACAGCCCGGAGCAACTGGTCCAGACGCCCCGGGCGAGGGCAGCCTGCTTCAGCCTCCGCCCCCCACCGGCCCAGAAGCTACCTGAGCGGGGGCCAGGGCAGGTCCCCATTCTTGCCGATGCCCATGTTCTGGGACACAGCGACGATGCAGTTTAGCGGACGAACCATGACTGCACTAGCAACCACCAACGACCAAGCTCGCACCTACGGCAAGCCCCATCAAGATTGGCGCGAAACTGTGGCTACCACGCCCCTCGGCCCCATTTGTGCAGGCGAGGCCCCGCCCCCTGCCCCGGCGCACGGCAGGGTCGCGGCGTGCTCGCGCCCGCAGACTCCCGGGAACTGCGGCCCTGGGCTCGCGCTTCCGGCTCTGACCTGCCCTCCGGGCTGCCACTCCTTTCCCTGCGATGTCTCGCCGGAAGCCTGCGTCGGGCGGCTTCGCAGTCCCCGGCGCAGCCCCTGCTAGGCAAGCAGTTTTGAGCCGATTTTTCCAGTCTACGGGAAGCCTGAAATCCGCTTGCAACCCCACTGGTGCAGCCGACCAGGCGGACTCTGGCTCTGCAGCGCCCCCAGCGTCCACTTTCCCGCCCCAATTGCCGGTACACGTGGTGGGTTCAGTCTAGGTCGGGGCGGGGCCCTGGGGAAAGAGGGCGGAGCAAGATGGGGAGGGGCGGGGCTTGTGGGGGGTGCTGGAGGACGGACCCCGCGGGAAATGCGTGAGATGATAGGGCTGGTTGAGGAAGGGGCGGGCCGAGGGAAGGAGAGAGTTGGGGAAGTCCTGCTAGGTTCATGTACTTGGTGTGGGTCTAGGTTTTTATTACCTCTGCTTGAAGTAATAGACTTGAGGCCAAGGTCACGCGGATTTTACTGGCCGGCGTGAGCAGGGATTCATATCTCCTGACTCCCATTCTGATGAGGAGATGGGATCTGTTGGCGAGGGATGCAGCTTTTAACCGTCCCTCCCTTCCTCCCTGGATTGACAGTTGAAGAGTTTTATTTATTTATAGTTGCTGGGTTGGGTGACGAGAAGAAGCTTCTGTTAATTCTCCAGTTTTTAGTGGTAGCAGCATTGCTTAGTATTTAAAATCACTATGGTAAAGGCAGTCTTACTGAGCAGTTCCCCAGGAGCTACACTCGGTGTACTTTAGATTGTGTTGTAAAGTCTGATACGCAATTCGAATGTATAAAGTCTCTTAACATGGTCTAAGTAGTTGATCACTGGGTCCTTCAACTGAATAAAATAAGTAGGCGTGTGTGTGACACACACAAGGTCTCGTTCTGTATCCCAGGCTGGAGTGCAGATTTGGCTCACTGCAGCCTCCAGCCCTCCTATTACTTTTTTTTTTTTTTTTTTTTAAACCAGGGATACTACCACAGGGAAAAGCCCAAGTGTGAGCCCTTACTGGGGTTCCCTATATAGTATTCTCAAACTGAGAATGTGGAAGGGGATTGCAGACAGGCTTTTAGTCACCTAATGCAGGTGACAGCTTGGCTGGTTCAAAATATTGTTCCCCTCCTTTATATTTCTTCTCTAAAGTGATTTCTTCTCTCCTGTCTTTGTTTTTTTTGGATGACCTATATTTTCATGAATTCACCAAGATTTTATTTTGCAACCATCATTAGGAGGGTATTTTGGTGAAGGACTTAAGTTTTTCTTTTTTTGGCTGGGGCTAGGGTTTGAACCTACCACCTCCAGTATATGGGGCTGGTGCCCTACTCCTTTGAGCCACAGGTGCCACCCAGGACTTAAGTTTTTCGGCAGGTTTTTTGCCAACAAAAATCTCGTAATCTTGTTCCATCTTTAGTGGTGAACATAGCCATTTAAACAGGCAACAGTTAAATTACAATTAACATTTAAAAAATGATAGTATTCTTTTATCCATCTTTTCCCTCTAATTGGGCTTTTGCTAAATAGATATTTATGTTTTTGATATATTTTATTTAGCATATCTGAGTAGGATGATTCAAGTTTTATAATTTGAATTACCTGAAGCCTGATTGAGTAAAGAAAGGTAGCAACCTTGGTTTCAATTAGTTGTTTCAGGGTTTGAGATACTGAGGCTGTAATCTCCAAGTCATCAGAATCCCCACCTTGTCTCTGCTGATGGTAAAAACAATTCACCTATAGACCTTTTTTTTTTTGAGACAGAGCCTCAAGCTGTCCCCCTGGGCAGAGTGCCGTGGCATTACAGCTCACAGCAACCTCCAATTCCTGGGCTCAAGCGAGTCTCCTGCCTCCGCCTCCCAAGTAGCTGGGACCACAGGCGCCCCCCACATCTTTGGTTGCAGCCATCATTGTTGTTTAGCGGGTCCAGGCTGGGGATTCGAACCTGCCACCTTAGGTGTACATGGCTGGCGCCTTAGCTGGTTGAGCCATAGGCGCCGGGCCACCTATAGACCTTTTAAGGGCTAAAAGCAAGTGATTCTATGAAAGGTAGAAGGCAAGGAACTTGCTGTTAATCAGATGTAAGGTTTAAATTGCTAAACTTATGTCAAGAGATAACACATCATTTTCTAACCTTCCTGATACAGGCTGCAGAAATTGACAAAAGTAAAAAGAGACCACTGGAAAATGATGGGCCTGTTAAAAAGAAAGCAAAGAAAGCCCAAGAAAAGGAAGGAGAAAGTGATTTGGTAATGTCTGGAAAAACTGGTGAGTTCTGGGCAGTGATTCTCGTCACCAGTCATGGCTCTGATATTCTTAAATTCTCCAGAGGGCAGAGATTATTAGAAAGTTGTGTCTTTTTTTCTAGCTTGATGCCTGTAGCTCAGTGATTAGGGCACAAGCCACTGACAAAGGGGCTGGCGGATTTGAACCTGGCCTGGGTCTGCCAAACAACAATGACAACTACAACAAAAAAAATAGACGATGTGGGGGCCTGTAGTCCCAGCTACTTGGGAGGCTGAGGCAAGAGGATCGTTTAAGCCCAAGAGTTTGAAGTTGCTGTGAGCTGTGAGGCCACAGCACTCTACCTAGGGTGACATAGTGAGACTTTGTCTAAAAAAAAAAGAAAAAGAAAATTTCACCTTTTTCTTTGGTATGAAAGGTCCTGATCGTGCCAGAGCATAGTGGCCCCTCTGTAGGTGATGACTGGCCACATGTGTTGGGGGTTATGTGGATTTTCTCTTTTTTTCCCCTCTGGCTATTTCTGTCCTGATTATAAAAGTAAGCATTCTTAATATAAACGTTTCAAACAGTATAGAAAGTTGGAAGATAGATAGTGAAAGACCTCATAACCCATTCCTTTCATTGAGGCCTACTTGCTAATCATTTGAGGTTCTATATATTCTTCCAGATCTTTCTATTTATACACATGTGTGTGTGGATACTTATGGACCCACAAATAAGTTTAAAAATTATTATGTTTTGGCTCGGCGCCCATAGCACAGTGGTTATGGTGCCAGCCACATACATAGAGGCTGGTGGGTTCAAACTTGGCCTGGGCCAGCTGACTACAACAAAAAAATAGCCAGGCTTTGTGACTGGTGCCCGTAGTCCCAGCTACTTGGGAGGCTGAGGCGAGAGAATTGCTTAAGCCAAAGAGTTAGAGGTTGTCTTGAGCCATGACGCTATGGCACATTCTACCGAGGGTGACATACTGAGACTCTGTCTCAAAAAAAAAAAAAATAAAAGAAATTATGTTTTACAGGTTGTTTTATACTATATGTACTAATTTGGAACTATTTTCACTTAACAGGACATTTTGAATACTTTTTAATTTTATCAGGATATATAGATCTATCCTTTCTTTTTTTTTTTTTTTTTTGCATGGAGCTGTTCTTTCTGTATACTAAAGGCACTGAATAAAAAGCAGCATTCTTGAGCTCCTGGACTTCTAGAGGTGTCTTGGGTATAGATGGTTGAGCAGATTTATCTCTAGTTTTTGGCCTTGGGGAATTTGTGGTAAGGGAAGATAGGAAATCTTTCTTCATTATGCCCCAGAAATTATATAAAGAAAATGAGACAAAGCAAACAACAACACAAAAATGTCCCAAGTTAGTGGGACTCTCTTGTCTTTTTTTTTGTTTTGTTTTGTGTTTCAAGGATGACCTTCATTTTCATGAATTCACCAAGATTTTATTTACACCCCTCATTTAGATGGTATTTGGTGAAGGACCTTAAGAAAGTTTTTGGCAGGTTTATGTCTGTGAAGATATAGGTAAGGTTTCTATCCTTTTATAAAAGGTTAAATTTGGATTTAGGATTAACATGAAAGCCTTTGTATGAAATAACTATAGGAATGGAGATGTGTGGCTAAAGAGAAATAAATGTGACAGTATCTCATTCCTTTTTTCTAAAGGGGTCATGAGAAGAAGCATGGCTTGACGGAATTTGCCATGTGCTAATGTTGCATTTCTGGGGCTTTTTGCCTTTATTTGCTTCATGGCTCTGCACAGACCTGTTCTTGAGGTCTGTAGTGAATAAGCACCACTATTTTAAAAAAGTCTGCCATTGTTCTAGAACTTCTTGTAGTTCATTTATTTTTCCCAAGAACTCTTGCTCTTCTTTTATAGAGGAAGAGGTGAGTAATACATGAAGAGAATTGAGAATTACCAGTTAAATAACTTAACCAAGGCCACACGAGACAGTGGAGATTGCAAGTTGTTAAAATAAGACGTAGACTTGAAATGTAGTCAAATTAGATTATAGATGGCTCTCAGGAAGAAGGGAGAGGAGTATCCACTAGTTGGAAGCTGGGTGACTGCCTCAGTTTTTTCTTTTTTGAGTCAGTCTCACTAGGTCACCTTCGGTAGAGTGCCATGGTGTCACAGCTCATAGCAACCTCAAACTCTTGGACTTAAGCAATTCTCTTGCCTCAGCCTCCTGAGTAGCTGGGACTACAGGCCCCTGCCACAATGCCCAGCTATTTTTTTCTTGTTGTTGCAGCTCTCGTTGTTTTAGCTGGCTTGGGCCGGGTTTGAACAAACCAGTCTTGGTGTATATGGCTGGCACCCCACCCACTGAACTACGGGCACAGCCGACTATCTCAGTTTTTTAAAAAGTACCAATTGTTAAGATCCAGTTCTTGTACAGTTCACCCATTCAGCATGTACAACGTAATGGCTTTTAGTATATTCTCAGAATTACGTGACCATTATCAACGTCAGTTTTAGAACATTTTCATCACTCCCTCAAAGAAACCCTCAACCCTTAGCAGCCATCCCCCAGCGTTCTCCATCCCCTGGCAACTGCTCATCTACCTTTTGTCTGTGGACATTTCTTATGAATGTAGTCATGCAACTTATGGCCTTTTTAAAATCTGTTTTCTTTCACTTAGCATTATGTTTCCAAGATTTGTATATATTGTAGCATGAATCAGTACTTCCTTCCTTTTTAAAAAAAATTTTATTTAATTTTTTTATTGTGGTAAAATACACATGACGTTTAC